AGAGACAGAGAGAGAGAGACAGAGAGAGAGAGACAGAGACAGAGAGAGAGACAGAGAGAGAGAGACAGAGAGAGACAGAGAGAGACAGAGAGAGACAGAGAGAGAGAGACAGAGAGAGACAGAGAGAGAGAGACAGAGAGGTAAAACACTGTTGTGAAGTAGCTTCACACTAACGTGTAAACGTTGTAAACGTGTCACACAGGCTGACATCACTGTGTCAGTATTAGTCCAAACAGCTCAATCTGATTTCATCAGTATTGATTAAACATGCATCTGTGCATATTCATTATATGAGGAAAGCAGTGCTGTGCAGGAGGCTAAACCTGCCTCAGTTTTGATATTTTGCTTGGAAGATAAGAAACGTCTGCAGTGAATCATTCAAACATGCACTGAAAAATCTAAATATTGTATAAAAAGCAAAACCAGTTAAACTCATATTTAGTATGAACACGTTGATTCTCAGACAGCGTTCCTGTAACTCCTTCAGCAGGAATAACTCTCTGGAGTCTTGATGACTGCTCAATGATCCAGGTCAGGAAATCCCAGGAAGTCTGTTCATCTGGATGTTTTCAGTGGGAGGAACGTTTCTTCATCCTCCAGCTGCCTCCTTCAGTCTCACCTGACGGCAGGTTTGCAGCCTTATAAACAGGACATTTGTGTAATGACTGAAACCGGCAGCACAGACTAAAACTGGGCTGTGGGGTCAGTTTCACAAACCTGGGTGTAAACGTCGAATGACAACATGACCCCATCAGTCTTTTACAGCTGAGGGGAAAATGAGAAGGATGTCTTGTATTTGCAGGCTTTGTGCTTCAGACACATTCTTCCTTCTCTCAGCTGCTCCTGTTGCCACAGCTCAGCCTCCATCTCAGCCTCTTCTGTCACACCGGCCCTCTCCGTGTCCTCCTTCAGTACATACATGAGCCTCGTCTGTGGTCTTCCTCTTGTTCTTCTGCCCACAAACCTCACTGTGCTCATGTCCTGCTCCACCCTCACACGTCCTCATGTAGGACCACACTTCCTCTCAGTATGTTGTCTCTGGCTCCACAGAGACAGTAAACTCCTGTTTAAGACGTTTTCAGTACACTTCCTTCACTTGCACATTCCCATCTCTGTCCTTCAATCTCTCGTCCTAGCCAATCAGCCTCAGATGAAGCCTTTTCTTCTGGCGCTCCTCTCGTGGCTGCACACCGAGCCTCCTGTCTACATCCCCTCCCAGACTATCTGCTGAACTCTTCCTTTGGATACGTCCTCTTTCCTCTATCCACACTATCCCAAACACCTTCTTGCAGTTGTGCTGTAGCGCTTCAGTCCAACCCAGACCCCCACTCTTTGCAACAGTCAGCCTTCAGCTTCCACCACGTAACCCTT